GGGTAAGGAAGCAATCATCTTATTTTTGTAATGAAAACAAACAAAAAACTACTAAAATGGCCTTGTTTACTACTTCCTCTCCCCTTTCATCCTAACTTAGAAAAATTACCAACACACTTTCTAAGCCACTAAGCAAAAAAAAATCTTCTTTTTTTGAGACGGGGTCTCACTGCCACCCAGGCTAGAGTACAGTGGTGTGATCACTGCTCACTGCAGCCTTGTACTCCCCAGGCTCAGGGATTCTTCCCCATCAGCCTTCTGAGTAGCTGGGACTACAGGTGTGCACCATCAAGCTTGGGTAATTTTTGAATTTTCTGAAGAGCCAGGATCTCTCTGTGTTGCCCAGGTTTGTCTCAAACTCCCAGGTTCAAGCGATCCATCCATCTTGGCTTCCCAAAGTGCTGGGATTATAGGTGTGAGCTACCACACGCGGCCAGCAAATAAACTCTTCGTTTTACTTCTAGATGTCTGTAAGATGTATACTTACTTACAGCTTAGTAAAAATAAAAGTAGAGTACCTCATGTACACAAAAGACTATAAGATGTTGAAAGGTTAAAGAATCGTGACTACTCTTCAATAATTATGACACAATTATTGGCTGGGCAAACATGAGAATCAAAATAAAGGTTTGAAAGGTTAAAGATACTCACCAAGCTTGATATTTTAAAGAATTAATTTCATCAAGATTTTACATCTTTTAAAAATAGGGATTTTTTCTTAAAACCAGAAAAGATATTTAATACTTAAGAAATAATATTAGAATTAATTTAAGATCTTGTAAATGCCAGGATCTTCCCATCTTACGATTTTTAAAATCATAAGACAATGAAAGGGCTTTTGTTGTTGTTTCAATTCGTGCAATAGTAAGACAATTATATTGGTACTATTAATATTTTAAAGGAACAACATTCAATCCCCACAGTCTCCCCAGTAGAAACCTCTGATTAAGCTATAAATTTTGGGTAAATGAGGTCAAATTAATACAGTAGAATATGAAAGCCTTTCTTCAATGTTAAAGAAAGTAAAAGGGAAAAGAAATGAAAGTCAGGAAAAATAACAGTGATTTATGCCACTCCTTTCCAGAGCTCTATATAAAGGAATAATTTTGCTTCAAATTATAAAAAAGTATTTTTGGGAAAATGCAACGTAAAAAAAAGTTCATATTGTTTCCTTGGTACATAGTAATAGCCTTAACTACTTAATTAATGCTGGACCTCAAATTAAATCACATTTATTTTGATAACAAGTCTATTTTTTCTTCCCCAAGCGTTATGAAACATAGTGACTACTCTTCATTACGACACAATTATTGGCTGGGCAAACATGAGAATCAAAATAAAGCTAGGAACCATGAATAGTTCTATAGATTAAGTCACATGAAAGAATTTTACATAGCAATAAAAAATACATTATTCTTAAATGTATGCTAATTATATTGGTTGGTAAAATACCATAACCAAGATTGTGTTAAATACGTAGTCCAAGCTCAATGTATATTATCCCATGATACACATTAACATAATAAAGGAAATAAGCCCACTAGTGTTTACTTTTTGACATCAATGTTAAAAAATGGCTGCTACCATTAAGCTTCTTTCAGAGTACTCTTCCTAGAGTATTGTTTACCTCAAATCCCTATCCGACATTCCTCTATCAAAATTTAACAGCACAGAGGTCAAATCTGCAGTTACCCTTACTTTAAGCATTTTTCTGGAGGATGAAGTTGTGGATAATTCTCCCAGGTTAGATACATGGTCCTAAGATGGAGTATACCTTTTATGGGGAATGGGGTTGGGAGGCAGGGGGAAATTCTGTCAGAATCCTTTAGCTGTTACAATCTTTCTTTGGAAACCCCTGGAAGTGAAATGGAGTACCTCTCCAATTGATGGAATACCTATCTTTCCTTTTCCAAAATATAAGTGTTATTTTCATATAGTGTCCTCAAATAACAATATAAATATCCCAGAAGGGCAAGGCTGAGAAAATGGGTTAGATAATCTGAGAATTAAAAAAATTTTAATGTAGCTAACTTGGGAAATGTATATCAATATCTCATAATAAAATTAGGTTGTCAGAACAAAAACATTATATATTAGGTCATTTGAAAGATGCAGATATTGAAAATTTTCAAATTTGTAAAACACTGGAGTAAGTAATGGAAGTATAAGTGTATCATCAAATGACTAACAATTAGCATGTATGATGCCTTTCAAATATATTTTGCATCTATGTTTAAAACCACAATGACATCATGGTGGCAGTAGTAAAATGTCACCGTACTACATGGAAGCTATAATATTTACTTGTTACACAGTAACCACATAATATATTTAGGCAATACTCACAATATTACAGCATAGTCTTACCATTCTAACACCATAACATCCTATTATCATTACCTTTTGTCACAATATGGTCATATTAGGCTTGTCACAACTTGAGTCAAATAACATTTTCAAGTAATAACAGTCTAAATTGCTTATACAGAAAATCAGAATACAAAAATGTCATTAAGAGGTTAAAACTAAAATACTTCTGGACATATTTATTTTTCAAGATGTAGTCAATTATATTATAACCTCTTCAACTTTTGTGCACTTTGAGAATTAACTGCATACATGCAAAATATATTTCAAAGTATTCAACAACCAATACTGTTTCCATCATCTTAAGGAACAGTAATTTTAGTATAAGCTTGTTATACTTAAATACCCTACTAGAGTATCCCATTCCAAGCAAATATGGAAAATTTAAAAGTTACTGTTCAAGTTTGTATCTCTGAAGAAACACATATAGAAGGTGCTTTGAGTTCTCTTTTTTGTGGGTACTTTAAGAGATGATAGTTAAATCATTAATCCGAGGTTCAATGAATGGTCAAAACCCCTGGAAAGAATTCCTAAAAATTTCAGACCACTGTAGCCTAGTGCACAGAGCACTAAATTTGAAGCCTAAAGATCAGTCCACATGGTCACTGGTTTTGTGAGACTGTTCGTATCACTTAATTTGTTTTAGAGCTCAAACATGAAACTCCATCCTACATGTTTCATAATTTCTTGTCTCAGTTTTTTTCTACACACTATTTTTCTTGGAATCAACAACTTATTGAGAACCTACTAAGTGTCAGGAAGTATGCTAGGAACATTTTGTTATTCTAATGAGGAACTGAAGACATTATAATAGAAACATAACTTTTTCGTTTGGAAAGTTTTAGTACCAAGTAAATGAAGTTACATATCCCATTGAATTAAAAAATATGTAAGGCCTACAAATAGCTTCCAAACTTAAAGTTCAAATGTAAGAGGATATCAACTGAGGCTCACAAGGGAAAAACGGAGAACTAAATATTTGCTAACTATATATTTTGAATCACTTCTGTTTACAGTACCATGCAACTCAGGAGGAAAATATACTTGAAACAATTAAGTGAAAAATACTTAAACCTATGTAAAAATAACTGGGAAATGAAATGACAGAAGCAAGAAGCCATACTCTTTTTCATAGATTGCTTGTCTTCTTATTTTCTCTGCACTAAACCTATGAAAAGCCTATTTTGAGGGGAAAATAACCGAAAGAAATGTCAAGCGAAGTACAAGAACAAGCAATGACAGCTATATTTTATGAAAGTGTACAAGATTTAACAGACACATATCACACACTATGAAAAAAGTTATGAAATGTAAACACAGACGGGTTTTAATGAAACAGCATTCAGATAGAAATTAATCTAGGAGCTTTATTAACACAGCAAATCTGTCCTACCAACCTAATCTGGTCAATCCTTTCAATATAACAGTTATGAAACCAGCATATTCTTCAGCAGGCTTCTCATAAAAAATTCCAGAGATTTTAAAGGAAAGCCTAAGAACTAGACTTCCTTTCCTCGTTAAAATGTGAGTTAAATTTAGAGATGTCGAATGGAATGTACTAGTAATCAGTACTGGGAAGCAAAATGTATATAGAAAAAATAAACAAAAAATACATACACAGATTTAACGCAGACACGAGTATGACTAAGTATCAACGACAAGCTCTAAATACTTTATAAGGATTATGTGTCAACATAAGCCTTTAACATATACGCTCTCTTAAAGCCAAAATGTTTTAAGATTTATAACCAGAGAATAGGCAGTCTAACGGTCAAAGAGGGGAAATCATCTTTTTCCACCATCTTCTAATGAAGCCTGTCTGTCTCCCACAATTATAAAAACTTTTGTAGTTGGTCTAAACCGTGAGCTGCCTGGAGACAGCAGAAGGGAGGTATCCTGAATGAAAGCCCATCTCCATAAATTAATGTCTTCCCTTGACGAGAAAGCATTTCAGGGTAAAAAGCATGTACGAATTCCGCCGTAATCTGAAAAGGGGTTGGAGGGCAGGGAACGAAATAGGGAGCGGGAGCACTAAAACATGTTTAGTTAACAGCGCTCAGAAGTCCCCACACAACCCGTATTCCCCTCCATCTCAATCAGACTAGGCTATTCTCTCCTCCTCTGAAGGTTTAGAGGTCAGAGAGAGATGTGGGGTCAAAGTGGCTTCCCCGACAGGTCCCCTCCCTAAGTTTCCCCTCGGTTGAGCCCACATCTCCGCTCTGAACCGACCTAAGAGCTGGTCCAGGGCTGGGAGCCCGGTTGATACCAGCAGCTGTCCATTCCGCACCGACGGTCGCGTGCCCGCAATGGACACCAGTCGAGGGCCGCTGTCGTTGGTCCCGCTGGCTCTAGGACCCCTCCTCTGGAAACTGGTGACATTGCTCTTGCTGGCTGTCGCCACTGCAGACCCAGTACTCCCCGCGCCACTGCCGCAGGTTGCCACTGCCGCCATCTTAGAGCCTGCAGTGTTAACCCAATAGGAACTCTGGGAACGCAAACCCCCGGCCTGTCAGAACCAGTCCCAAACTCCCGCCTCCTCGCCCCAACCGCGGCTCTCGTAACCAATAGGACTGAGACGTCCCTCCCGAGCCAACCAATGGGAAGGCGTATTGCTGAAAAGTGCGCTCTGCGTAAGGACGGTCGACTTCGGCGGGGCCCAGGTGAGAAAGGCCCACCTGTGTCCTGTTTGAAGGTCTTCAGGGTTCTTTGGGGCCCGAGGTAGGTAATATCACGTAACGTTCTTCTCCTTTTGAGTGGCTTCATTCACACTGAGTTAAAGAAAACGTTGGTGAACCGATAAACCCTTAGGGCTTATCAAGCAATTGGTAGTATCTTGCACCTTTCTCCGCTGTGTGTGAGGAGAGACTTTTTTTCCTGCTCATTTATCTTCTGATTTCTGACAGAAAATTCACTCCGTGTTCTCCACGATGTCTTTTTCTTAATTTTGTGTTATACGGAAAGGATGGGATCCCTTACCTTAATGAGTTGGTTGCTGAGCGTCCGGGCTTAGTTCGCTAGTGCCTACTGGTAGGTGGTTTGGATTTAAATCTTAGAGCGAAAACTCTTGAACTTTGTGGTTTTCCTGTGTCTGAGAAAATATACCTCTCTGACAAGTTCCGATAAGAAGCTTTTGTTAATTTTAATTAGTGTTTCTGGAAGTCTTGAATGTCTGTCCTAAGCGGTGTAAATGACATGTGTTACTCTGACAACCTTGTTCACACATTTAATTGTCGTTTGCTGTTAAAGGAGCTGCAAATAACAGAAAATACTTAGGATTTCTTTCCCCAAAAAAGCTGCTAGGAAGAATTAGAAGTAAACCTACTTTATTTTGTGAACCCTGAATCGAGAGTTTATTACTAAAATACGAATTTTATGGGTGGAAAAAACATGTATTTTGAGTTGTATTTTTGTGTTTAAATTTTTTCTCAAAACTGAGCAGGTACAGTGGCTAAGTAATGTTTAAAGGCAATCATGATTGACAAATGTCTAAGTTAAAAAGAACTCCCAGATCATTACTACACTACTGAGTTATTGACTTTTGACAGTGATCTGTGATACCTTTTAATTAGAGCCAAACCTCGTTGAAATTCTTGCCATCGAATTGTTTTAAATTTCACTGACCTGTTGAAAGTTTTGGGCTGATTTTATTTGATAAATTGAAATTAGTATTGTTAAATAGTGACTGGAGTTTTTCATTTGGGGAAGATTTTTGTTTGCTTGTTTTTTAGAACCATGTTTGGGATAAAACCCTGTTTCACAATATATCAACTGGAAAGCTTTGATCAAGGTTGCTTTCATATTGAATCTTTAAGTTACTCAATAAATAGCTGTTGAGTGATTACTGTCGGTTTGGACTTAATCTTGTCATTTTTAGACCTATGATAATAAAAATGGTCTCATCTGGAGAAGATGAAATTAACACATAGAAAACAACATAGTACTTAAAATGAACACATTAAATAGTATGTGCTAATTTTATCCTGTAGTAAATAAGCACTAGGAAGACCAAAACAAAAAGTGACAAAGCAGTCCAATATCAGATAGAAACTTCTTGAATATTTTTTTTCTTCAACTTTTACTTTAGATTCTGCGCTTCATGTGCAGGATGTGCAGGTAAATGTGTGCTGTGGTGGTTTGCTGCACAGATCAACCCACCACCTAGGTATTAAGCCCAGCATCCACTAGCTATTCTTCCTGATGCTCTCCGTTCCCCCACCCCTACAAATATTTTTGATGCTGTGAACTTTTTGAAATACTACATATAATAATTATTTTTTGACAGATGGCATTGTTTTGTGTACCTCATGATGCTATGAAGTGTATGTACATTCTGGAATGGTTAAATCTATCTAATTAGCAATGCATTACCTCACATAGTTATCATTTTTGTGGTAAGAGTACATAACATTTACACTCTTTACATTTTTTTAAAGAATACAATATATCATCATTATAGCCAGCTTGCTATAAATTCATGTTATATAATAGATTTCTTGAAATTTATTCCTCCTATCTAACTGAAATTATGTATCCTTGACCAAATTCTCTCCATCCTCCTGCCAACCATCCTGGCCTCTGGTAAACACCATTATACTCTCTGTGAGATTAACTGTTAGATTCCACCTATGAGTAAGATCATGTGATATTTGTCTTTCTGTGTCTGGCTTATTTCACTTAACATAATGATTTAATTCGTTTTTATAGGCTTCTATACTACATATTCCCTTGTTTCCTACTGTATTTACTTAAATACAAAAAAAAAGCATATTTATCCTATGCTTATATACCAGATATATATCCTATTTTCATGAATACTTTGGTGTGTATATAGATCATCTTTCCGGAATTATAATCCAAGTTGAAGTTGGAAAATAATTCTTCAGTTCTAGTAATGAGGCAAACAAAGCACCACTATCATCATCTTTGGAAAACGAAAGATCGAGACCATCCTGGCTAACATGGTGAAACCTCGTCTCTGCTAAAAAATACAAAAAAAAATTAGCCAGGTGTGGGGGCGGGTGCCTGTTGTCCCAGCTGCTTGGGAGACTGAGGCAGGAGAATGGCATGAACCCAGGAGGTGGAGCTTGCAGTGAGCTGAGATTGCACCACTGTACTCCAGCCTGGGCGACACAGCGAGACTCTGTCTCAAAAAAAAAAAAGTTATATGTTTAGGTGTGTTATTAATTAATTAATTCTTTATGAAGGACATACTAAATTCTACAAAGTGCAACAGAGCTCAGGTTACAGGAGGAAAAAAAATACTGTCTCTGTACTCTTTGAGTTCACAGTTGGGGAAGATAGATGGGTAAACTGGTTAATAAAGTACAGTTGATCCTTGAACAATGTGGGGATCGGGGTGGGGGTGCTGACCCCCACACCCGTGTAGTTGAAAACGCACATGTAACTTTTGACTCCTCCCAAACTTAACTGCTAATGGTCTATTTTTGACTACTGGAAGCTGTACCAATAACATCTGTGGTTTAACACATAATTTGTGTGTTATATGTATTATGTACTGCATTCTTACCATAAAGTAAGCTGGAGAAAAGAAAATGTTAAGCAAATCATCAGAAGAAAATATATTTGCCATACATTAAGTGGAAGTGGATCATTATACAGGTCTTCATTCTTATTTTCTTCGTGTTGAGTAGGCTGAGGAGAAGAAGGAAGAGGAGGGGTTGGTATTGTAGTCTCAAGGGTGCCAGAGATGGAGAAGGTGGTAGGGGAGGCAGGACAGGTAGACCCACTCAATATAGCTTTATGGGAATACATACTAATTTGTCTTTTGCTTTTTCAACTCTCAAAAAATGTTTTTGTACAGTACCAATTCTTCTTCCACGGTTTGCTTTAGTTACAGTATCTGTGTTATAGGAGGGGTCCATGTCAGAAGAAGTCAAAGCAGTCTTGAATAACTGGAAGACTTCTGCCAGATTGCCTAATGTCAGTTTGTTTTCTGGCACTGCTTCTTCTTCTTTCTTATCATCTGGCACTGGTTTGGAAGCATTCATCTCCATCAAGTCATCTTCTGTTAATTCCCCTGGTGTGGTGTCTATTAGCTGTTGAATTTCTCCAAGATCCCTATCTTAAACAACTGTTCCCTCCCGACGTTTTTTTTTTTTTTTTCTTTTCTCCATGTCCACAATGTTTCCCATAACTTCCTTGATTGACTGTTGTAAATCCTGCAGGAAACCAATTTGAGATATACCAGAAAACATATAATGAACATGGTAGGCAACTAGCACCTTCTGATACAAGTAGACACCTCTTCAGTTGTTTTTTCAGTGGCTTCCCTAGCCCTGGAGTCCATATCACTGTTGTTTCTGTGCAGGTAAAGTATGTAGCAGAGATACTGTGAAGGTTCACTACTGGGCCTGCTGGTATTCTGGCAGCATGATTGAAGGAATGAATATTAAGGTCATGTCTACACAGAGGGAGTTCCTCAACCTCCGGTAATTCCTTTTTTGCCTCCTTCCTGTCTTTATACTCACAAAGAGAAACTATAGTCCTGAGTTGTAGCACCACAGATTTCTTTTACCTGTTTTTCTACTTTTCTACTTTTGTTATACTCTCTACTTCTATGAGATCAACTATTAGATTCCATTGGATCTACTATTAGATTCCATGTTTGACTTCTTTTGCTTAACATTATTTTTGTGAAATGATCCTTGTTAATGTGTATCGTTGTGGCTGATCTATTCTTATTGCTGTATAGTATTATATAAATGTACTATAATTCATTATCTGTTCTACTGTTAAAAGGGGTTTGGATAGTTTCCCTTTTGTGGCCATTTCTTCAATGCAATTGTACCAGTTTATACTCTTACCAGGAGTATTTGGGAATTGTTGTTACTTCTCATCCCATCAACACAATATTTTTCTTTCTTTTCATTTCAGCTATTCTAAGAGGATTGTGGTATGGCATTGTCATTTGGATTTGGACTGATGAAATTGAGCACCCGTTTATATGCTTATTGGCTGTTTGGGTAACCTCTGTTGTGAAAGGGTCTATCTATATTTTTTAATTTTACAGATTTGGATTGTCTGCCTCTCTCCTGTAGATTTGTAGGAGTTCTTTTATATTTTGGATAAGCGTTTGTTTTCAAATAAACTAATTACAAATATCTTCTATCAGTCTGTAGCTTGCCTTTTCATTTTCTTGTCTTTTGATTTCAGTCAAAATATATTCTGACTTAACAATTTTTTCTTTGTGGCTAGTGCTTTATGGCTATGTTTGCCTACTCCATACTTTCGAAGATGATCTCCATGTTTTTTTTCCTAAAACCCCTAATGTTTTACTTTTAAATATTTATGTCTGTACTTTGTTGGAATTGACTTTTTTGTGTTTGGTGTGAGGCAGTGGTAAAGATGCATTTGTTTTTCCTATGTTGGTATCCTATTGACCTAGCATCATTTATTGAAAAAATGATTCTTTCCTTGCTATATCGCATCATCACTTTTTTAATAAATAAAGTCACACATAAATTAGGCAGATTTCTTTCTGGACTTTTCATTGGTTAGTGTGTGTCTTCAGGTTCTTCAGGAGGCTGGCTTGCTTTCTCTCAGAATTTTAGCCACACTGTACTGTGGTGACCTCAGGTTAAATCAGTAAAAATGGGAAACTCACCCTGTGGCAATTCCTTCTTACCTAAGTTTGACTACCCAGCAAAATCCGTTTGCTTCTATTAAATCTGTGGAGCCTTCACGTAATTGATTTTTGT